GTATGAGCTGATTTAATCGTAAACAATCACATATATGAATATTTTCTTGGAAAAGCCCCAAATAAAGGTACTTTAACATTACATTATTGTGTCACATTACTAAATCAAACTTAAGCCTAAAATGATGTGTTTTTGACGCATTTGACACCATAATGGGATGGCAGTTGGGGTGGCACCCATCGGGATCCACCCCTGAGACCAGGCTCCAACTTTCTACAAAGTTCTCCATCACTGTACCTAGCAGGTCGGCTGTACATGGGGATCAAGTGTGCTGTTTGCCATCTTCATACAGATGAATTTACTTTAAAGTTAGATCACTGTCAGCTTATCTTATGAAACATGTTAACCCTCAATGGAAACACTGATTCTATTTTTCCGTTTCGAAACTTCACGTCTACCTAGAGACTCTCTTCACTTGTCTCTTCGTCTTGGGCTCCGTGACAATGGTTTTGATGCTATCAGTGTATAAAACACTCTCACGCACACAGAGACACAAGGTCACAGAGGTACTCTAACCAGTGAATAACAGGAGGCTGGAGCCGGCCGAGGTGGAGAGTGGTCTTGCCATGTGATTCGCCACATACATCAACTCTGTTGAGCAGAAAATTGAAATGGAAATGTGGGCCTTGAAAGAGTGTGGCTCCCATTTACCCCTGGACCAGAGCTAATGATTTGTCATTTCTCTCAGGGGCACGAGCTGCTGCCCTCACTCTCACACTCATACTGCGCCAGAGGGCTGGGCAGCCTCACCACCCTCTACTGTACTGTATGTAGTCTATACTTATACTGTATATGGTTTCTGTTTAACTCAAATTCTGGCATGATGATTTTGTTTACAGCAAAGCTTGAATCTGATGTTAAATTATAGAAATCTGTCAGGAGGCTTCTAGTAAAAAAGCTTTAAATATTCATTGAAATATGCAACACTTCCCAGTTTATAGCCTGACAGATTATTAAAAACATGCTTAGTCAACTGCATTCTCAACCCAGTCTCTCAAATACTTTAGCCGAGGGTCTACTTTATATCATCATAATAAGCCTAATTCAAGGAAGTTGTTTCACATATTGACTCAGATATTATCCTGTGGTTTTCACAAGTTTGCTAAACTCCACTCAGCGGACATTATGCACTCTACAAGCCAATAAAATATTTGACACTAATACCACACCCAAGGCCCATTTGATGTGTATGGCTGCTGGCTATTGTAAACGAAATCTGGTGTAAAACGCAACACTATTCTCATAGATGTTACAATATTAATATTTATGTAAACAGCAGTGCGGCTGTTAAGATTCAGCAGATGGTTTTTGAATTATTGAAGAGAGAGTTTCCAACATATTCTGGTCTGTGATCGCCTTTTATTAATGTCTGAATCGGATTTTTCATGAGCTTTCATCATGTCAATAGAGTTATGAGCACAGGGTCTTGGTGTTTAAAGCAAAGCTTGATGTGTGATTTATTATTGATCTGATGGCAGTATCTGCTGGGATACTGAACAGACACACACACAAACACTGCACTTTGGAAAATATTCTCTATTGACTGGATACCCTCCATGATTTCAGCCTCTTCCTGTTCAAAATTCTGGACTTTTCTCAAATCTTAATTTATTCACTGAGTTTAAAGAGTACTTGAAGGTTGGTGTTCAGTATACTATGTGAGGATGGCGAGGTAAAATTACAGTGAGTCAACTTAAAAGTACACATTTTAAAGTCTTTCTGATTAACAAACGATTAAAGATCTATTCTAAAAGTGTTGGTGATTACATTAATTCTTTGCTCAAGAACTTTAACATTAAGTGTGAACTGTACTGTACACACAAAACTTGAAAACACAACTTACCAGCAGTAAAACGAACAAGACGCTTCCATCTGACTAATCCAGCCTCACCTTGAGTCTGATTGACACCAAATGTGCGCAGTTTGTGTCTGTTAAAATATTCCTCTCAGAAACTAGCTACTCTGTTGAACATGGAATTTGACAACTACTAGAAAAATATTCCTCATATACATTTCAAAGTATTTCAAGATAACTGATTAATAAACAAATGTTTTACTCAAAAGATTTGAGATCCTGTAGTGATTCTAAATATAATAACAATATGCAAGGGTGCATTTGAATAATGACTTTGCTGGATGGAAACTCAAAAATGCATTACAACCATCAGTGAACATAAAGTACGGCTATGCATAATTTACATTTTTCAGTAGGTACAGTATTGACAAAAGAGGCCTTTTGGTAATATACCACAATTATTGCTGTATTGAAGTCATATTACCTTTCTTACCTTCAGGTACAACCCACACTCACAATCACACAACAGTTAATTCAGCAAAGCTTTCTAATTGGATATAAATGCATTTATTCTGTGTGATGACTCTCATAAATGATTTATCTTAATATAAAATCTCTCATGGTAACGCAGCCTGAAAGCATGATCAGATGATGATGCAATTAATTTCACCCTTCTTCAACAACTAACATCCAGCAGTTTGATTTAAAGCGACTCAAATGAACCATTCAGTGTGCAAATTGTTATTTCTCCCGGTAAGGTTGTTTCACAGACACACAAAGACAGACACAGTCAGAACAAGAAAGAATGCCAACCATGTGCAAAAGTAAACTAAGAACTCTTTTATTCTTTTTAGTTCATTTTATAATCTATCTTTAGCTGTTTTTTTTTCTACTCGAGTCCTTTAAAAGTTTGTCATCATGCTAGGTGCAGCTTCAGTGTTGGTAGTACATGCAAGGTTGTGGGTTCTGTTGGTGGAGGTTTTTCACACATTGGACAACTGGAGAGAGGGAAAACGGGGAGCGGTGGCTCTGAAATGTCCACTCTGGAGTCACCCCCCCCCCAATAAAAAAATAGAAAGAAAAAAAAACCCACTACAGACGCAGCTGCACGGGCAGGGAGGGGCACTGACCATCATCGAGGATTCACAAAGGGTTAAGCAGAAGCAGTTCAGTTCTTGCTGTGATAGTTGCCATCCAATCCATAAACGGGGACGGTTTTATATCATGACATCATTAGTTGACATCTTTAGTGCAGACAAAAGAAAAACAAAACTCTAGAAGCAGGCAGTCTCTTCAGGGAGGGCAGGAGGGGGGTTATACAAAAAAAACCTTCAGACAGCTTGGTAAAGAGTGAACAGGACAGTGGTGGGGAGGGAAACTTCATTCAGACTCCTGTTTGTGATAGGGTGACATTAACAAAGACATCAGGAGTATTGCTTGTGACTTTGGTCTGGGTCTGGTGGGGTGGGGGGTTTCTGTGATTATTTTTTTTAATCAAATTTCAAGGTTTGTACCTTCAAGTCAACTCTGGAACCCCCTTTTCCTGCTTTTCTAATACGGACTCATAAAACAACCAAAAAGAATAAAAAAATAAAAATAAAAAATAAAGGTACATATATGACATCACACGTGCCAGCTGGTGGATGCCACTTTTAGCTGAGGCACCTTACAGTGCATTTTTTTAATAAACATTGGTGGCTACAATGGGGATGAAGCCTGTTAACCCCGGCAGTGTTAGTGCCATGCTTTATGGTGCCCAGTGAGTCACAGAGAACCACTAATACTTACTTTAGAAACATTAACATCTTCACAGTCCCAGCAACAGGGAAAGAGTTCAAACAGTTTTTAGGATGGGATGAACTGATTGTACAGGGAACAGAAATTATTTTTGTTGTTCCTTATATACACAGAACTACTATACTGCAGCGATAATGATTGCAGGTCACAATATACACGTGGCCACCGACAGCTACAGATGCACTAAAGAAGCCTGACAATCCAATTTCCCCCATACTGAATGGAATACACACTTGTAGTACAAATCAAAAGTACATTGTTCAGTGGGTATACAAAAACAAACAGTAAAGGTTTGATAAAAAAAATAAATAAAAAAAAAGTGAGAGAAAAACATTTGCAAGGGCACAAACACACATGGACATCATCATCTTTGGTGAAGATTCCACAGAGTATACTTAAAGACACACACAGATTGCACGCGCGCGCGCACACACACACACACACACAGACACACACAAACATACACACACACAAACACACACAAACATACACTCACACACACATGTCCTACAGCTGGGAAGAGGAATTCACAGCAGCTACTTGGAAATACGTCCTCATTTACAAATTGAAAACAGGAGGACATTGATGCACTCAGGGTGTAAAGGTGGCAGGTCAGATCACAAAGGTCTTCTTTGAATTACGCAACTAACGTGCAGATCTGCAGATGAAGAAGAAAGGATGACAAAAATGACATCACACTGTGATACATTTGGTTGTAACCTACTGGTAGAGTTTCTCAGGTATTAGCACACAACATGTGAGTCTGTTCGAGGGATTACAACATGTTTGCATTTCAGACTATCACTACAGGCCGGCATAATGTGGCATCCAGTGAACGTAACTTACTGTATGTGGCGCTACAGTACATAGACCATGCCTTCTATTAATAGTTCAACTGACAGCTATCATGGATCCCTGCCACAAAGTTATATAGTTACAAGATCTGAGAGGTCTGTTTATGCTATCACTATTTCCACTTCAGTATTATCCCCAATCCTCAAATGCCCAATCTTAAGAAAAACAACAACAACAACAAC